CTCAATATTCATGAAACCAGGTCTTAATTTAGAGTTTTTAGAGACAGTTTTAAGAGAAGTTCATGAATACATGTCCAAATTTGATTGGTTGGGCTTGGAGAAAAAAAAATTTCTCCATCTTTTCTCTTTTTCTCTCTCTTTCTCTCTCTTCTTTCTTCTCTTCTTTGACTTTTTCTTTTTTTTTACTTTCTCTTTCTTCTCAAAATTTTAATAATAAAAAATTTAGGATGAACCCTATAAGGGATTCACCATTACTGATGCTCTGAGTTTGGATTGAGAAACAAAATATGGGCCTCTAAAGTGATATACACAAGCCGATCTTAATTCATGTCTCTCAATGAAGCCCAACTACTGCTAAAATCAGTTCAATACAAGCGTGTGTGTCTAACCTCGAAGAAGGACATGGAAGGGTAAATAGAATCATGACCGTTAGAGCTATATACATTGTAGCGATGGAGCTGTTGTGAAGGCAAACCAAAATCCATTCCATTATCTTCTCTGGAGTCTCGATTTTTGATAAAGATTGATGAATTAAAACATAGGATTAAATTAGAAGACATGTACAAATGTTATTGATCTACTATGTAAAAATGGCATCAAACATTTGCTTTCTTCTTCTTCTTCTACACCTCACATGATTGGATTTTTGAGAGAAAGCACATGGAAAAACTTCGATTGAATCATTATTTACTACTAACTATAAAAGTAATCTTCTTACATCCTCAGTACGTTCTGAGGATCAAACTCATGTACCTATATCTCGGAGAGGTATTTCTAGCATTACTACCTTGTCGTCGATCTAAGGAAGGCTGTACTGAGAGTACGAGAGACTTATAATAGTATACGGTAGCTCTTAAATAATGTATATCTAACTGGTTGAGCCAACCACACTTAGATGACTACAAGTAAAAATGATGTAATCGTTAAAGAAAAAGAAACAACAAATCTCTTCTCCTGCTCGAGTAGGATCCTATCCATGAATTTTATAGTGTTTTGTTGCCAATCGTTTTTATTTCTCAGAACAATTTTGTAAATAATTTTCAGATTTAACCGATCAATGAATATAACAACATTCAGTGAAAATAAAAAGGAAGAAATAAAACTGGACTATTATGGGCTTTTTTTCTTTGTAAACTAGAGAAAAAATATTTTTGATACTAAATTCAAGGGACTTTTAAAAAAAGAGTTCAAATTTCATTTGCTCAAAAAAAAACAAAACCCTCCTAAAGGCCGGATGGTTCAAATCTGTTCGTTCAGGTTAGATATTTTAAGTGCAATTTATCTAGTCATAGTCTTATAAAAGCGTACAGAGGAAAAATAAAAGTTGACTATTTTGGAAAATCTATTTTTTTTCGTAAATTATAAGAACAAAAGGAAATAACGTTCCTTTTGAAACATTTTATAGTATTAATACTATATATAGTTAACAGATTAACAGCACTTAACCAACAAATACTAATTCATATTACACATTCATGCATGACTAGGCTACCCAATTTTAGACATTACCTTTGTACAGGTCAATACATTGCAAAATCATTAAATCTACATAAACATGACTGACACATGGCTGACCACTATAATTACTTTTTTTTTTTGTTAACAAAGAGAACAGTGGGTATTTCCTATAGTTTGCATTTTCTTTTATTGCTATTATGGAAATAACTGATACTTTTTTATAAATATTATTATTGGGTTGCAAAATTGTTGTTTACCTTTTTTATTTTTCATTTTACTTCCTATTTCCTTTTACGTATATTTATATACCGAGATAAAGCACATTAATTGCATGAACTAAATTTTTATATTAAATTTTACTTCCTTATAATCCAATCATTTGTATATAAAATGGAGTGCATATTGATGCAGAGATATATATATGATTGTTTAAGCCTTTAGAAGATAGAGATTCACGAGCCCCTCCAGTGCACAAAAAAAAAAAAAGATAGAGATTCTCAGGAAAATTGCAGAAAAAAGAAATATTCTAAAACTTTGGCTATCAAATTGCCGAAAGACATTCAAAAATTGCTATGGCGGGATAAGCATCAGGTACGAATATGTAACTAATAAGATTAATTTATGTATTTTTTCATTATATAGTTCATGTAGCTTTCTGTCCAAAAGTTTTTAGTTTTTTTTTTTTGTTATTAGAAGATTTTGTTTTGATCGAGGTAGCTATAAAAGAATATATAGGTTTTTGGAGTTTCCTGGGCAACTAAATTGTTTGATTGCATGAATTATTAGTTTTTATAAAAGTGGTGGTTTCTAGTGGTTTGGGAAAATGTTGAGTATGTGTTTGCTCTCTGACTCTGGATTCGGCTTTACTTGACCACCAGATATGCTTGAGATGACCACCAGATATGCTTGAGAATTTCTTGGTGTAAATCCCGATTGTTAAGCCGTTGAAGATTAGTCTGAATCTGAGAAATTTAGGATTACTCTAGTTATTAAAAACAATTATTAACATTTATATTTAATGTTAAATAAAATATTTAAAACATAATTAGAATACATGAAGATCTAAAATATTTTATATAATTTTGCTTTTTTAAATAGTTTGAGATAATATGTTTTGTACACAAGTATAACTAGATATTCTTAGCGTGTTTGAAGGATTTCTTTCGATTTTTAGATTTACATAAACTATTTTTTGACTAAAATTTATTTCCAATCAACGATTTCTGACAACTTATATCTAGTCAAAAATTAATCAAAAACAGCTGTTTTGACTATTTTTTTACCTTGGTGGTCAGAGTTCAATATGTTTTCTTATAGTATATATGTTACTAAAGTTTGAGATTTATGTTCTTTAATGAATAATAATTTATATACTAAAAAGCGTACACTATATTTTTTACATGATTACAAAGAAGAATTGATTAACAAACGATAAGTAAATTTTCTTTTTTAGAAAACCAAATATCATTAAATTATGGGTAATACATACAAATTACCAAGAAAATGCATATATGTATATTTTATTTTTTTTACCAGTAAAAGTGCATATAGATTTTGTAAGTTTCCTTTTGTTAACGCAAAAAATAATCAGATAGATTTTAAATGTTTATAGTCTCTTAAGAGTTTATTAAAAATAAAATTAAAGACTACATCTCGGTTCCCTGTAGGAAAACCTTTCTTTTCAGAAACCCAAAACTATTTTAAAAAACCACAAACAACCGAGACCTAGATTGTAGTCTTATTATTATTTTATATTTTCAGTTAAAATCAATAATGAACAAATACATAAAAGTAAATAAAATACAAGAAGTTCCCCGCATACGCAAATACATACCCATTCCTCCACACATCTTTTACATTTACATATGATATTACCAAAAATAACGACACAAAAAATTCCTTAACGCAATTGCTAAATCTCGATAGAATCGAAAAAGATATTAACTAGGTTTACATTGGAAGGTCTAAGAAAAAATATGTGTTCCAAAAGATGAATTGGGAATTAGGAGAAACTGGAATTCGAGTCATTGATAACTTCGATCAAGTTATATTTTCCAAAGCAATTATGGATATTTTACTAAATTTCCTGAGTTCTTGGTAGCCAAAAATTAAAAAAATTGATATCACAGGGGTTCGTCTTTGTTAGAGACTCTATCTTAGTGACCAACATATGGACGAATAAGTATTTCGTTCACAGGGGTTCATCTATATTAGAGACTCCAGAATATTTTTTTTCAAACCTAGGTTGGAAACTTGGAATTCTACTTCAAAAGGAGTTTCTGTTTTAAGAACCATCGATGAAGCATATTCTCCACTCATGCAGAATTAGAATTTTTTTTTTTTTTTTTTGATAAAGCATAATTAGAAGTTTTTATATAGGTTGGAATGTCTGATAAAAAAAAACTGTTATTTTTGAGATGAATGTTTAGATCTTCTTATAATGACTTATGCACCATCAAAATGCCACACAACTGCTTGGTAATTATTTTTACTTTTATCTTTTACTGTAGATTTTTGGTTTTAAAAATGTTTACGGTAAAACCTCTAAAAATTAACTGTTATGTTTTAAATTATAAATAATTTTTTATTAGTCAAATATATAATTTACGCCAGATTTAAATCTTGTTGATAATATTAATCAATTATTAAAATACTTATATTAGCATATGTAATCAATACAAAAAATAAAAAATACAACATAATTAATTTTTTTAGAAAAATAGATCTAAAAAAGTTAAAAAAAAAATTTAATCAATTAAATTTAGTTTGTAATTACTTATATATAAATGTATAAGTCTTTTAAATGATTTTAGAGAAAGAAGAAATAGAAAAATAATTAAATGTATTTATTTTTATTAAATTTTTGTGTAAAAGCTCATCTTACGAGTTTTTAGAATCTATGACTAAAACAAAAAAAATCTGGTTTTTAGAACTTTAAAATTAAAAAAAATTCAAAAAGTCTATTTGGCAAATTTTTTTTTTAAAACTGTAAAATATGTTCCACAGTCCCCAAAGTCTACCCCAATCAACCCTATAAAATATTTATACTATTTTGGTACATATTATTACACATATACCTAACTGAATATGATAGATAATTGTAAACTATAGGTTTTAGAAATCTTAAATACTTCTGATATTTCAAGGTATTTTAAAAGTTTCAAATAACAATTGTTAAAAATATTTTTTTTACAGTTTAGTTGTAGGCAAACACTAATTAATTATATATATATATATATATATATATATGTATAAATAATAATTTTAGTTAAATTTATAAAGATTGTGTTAAGTTGTTATGTTAAATTATATATCCTACCAAACATATATTATCTTTCATTTCATAAAATATTTAAGTTTCATGAGGTTTAGATATTTTACTATCATGTTGATGTCAAGAGTTGTTGTTGTTTTTTTTTTTTTTCCTTCTTATAAATCTAGTTTTACAATTGCAGGCTAGCTGTCAAAGTTGTAACTCTAAATTTCCCAACAAAATCTAAAATTTCAGTATGACCCGCATAAGAAAGATGTTCACCAAAGAGATGTTGAACGAAGTATTTGATCAAGTGTTGAGTAACAAAGATGAAGTCAATGTTCCATTGTCGAGATCAAAGGTTTTGAAACCGAGCACCGAAGAAGCAGAGAAAAAGCAGAGGAAGCGGAAGAATGACAGTATTGACGAAATGCCAGTGAAGAAGAAAAAGGAATTAGAGTGGAGACCAGAAGATTGCGCAAAACCAGTTGGCAAATTGATTAACTCTACTGGTGTGGGAAGAAATAAGAAATGCCATTACGAGAAATTCGAGTTTCGAGACCAACAATATGGACTGGTAAAAGTTTTATTTTGCTTTAAGATCTTACTGATTTTACTAGTTTAAAGGCTTTGATTGATAAATGATAACAACATGTTTTCTAGTATCTACCACTTACATGATAATTTTTTTTTTTTTTTGGGGCATAGGAGGATTCAGTGCTATTGATTCCAGAGGACGTAAGCCGAAAGCCCTATGTTGCGATCATAAAGGTTAAAAAGAAGAAGAAAAGAATTGATATACTCTTAAGTTTTTGCATTATATATCAAAATCAAACTATTTTTATTGCCAGGATATTTATGTACAAGGCAAAGAAGGACACGTGAAGCTTGAAGTGCAGTGGTTTTATCGTCCAGAAGATGTAGAAAAAAAATATGTTAAGTGGGAATCCAACGATGCAAGGGACTTATTCTATAGTTTCCATCGCGATGAAGTGTATGCTGAATCTGTGAAGCACAGTTGCATTGTGTATTTCGTGCCAGAGAATATGCAAATTCCAGACAGTAAAAAGCACCCAGGTTTTATTGTTCAAAATGTTTATAATACTATTAAGAAGAAGCTGTGGAAGTTCACTCATGATGGTTTCAACAAGCAGCAAAAACATGAGATTAATCTTCTTGTGGCAAAGACGATCTCGCGAGTTGGTGATCTTCCTGACATTGAGAAGGAGCAAAAACATGAGATTAATCTTCTTGTAGCAAAGACGATCTCGCGAGTTGGTGATCTTCCTGACGTTGAGAAGGAGCAAAAGACTTTGAAGACGTCAAGACGTAAAAAGTATGTTCCGAAAAGGTTTATCATGGAAGTCAAGAGAACGAATCGTGAAAGCAATAATGTGCTTAAAGCACCAGGTTATAAGTCAATCTTGGAGAAGTTTGATATGTTAACCGGTGATTTGGATCGTGACAAGAAACTGGAAGAGCTTCTGGAAGCAGTTAAGCACAAGTGTCGTTTAACTGAGAAGAAGCAAGCTACTGATTATGATTCTTTCTGGCCAGATGATGTTGTTCCCGTGGTGCGTGCTCTCGAGCAGGTTTTTTATGATTCTATGTCGAAAGATATACCAGAGTATAATCGCAAGTTGGAGGTGCTAGTTGATAAACTCAAGGTTAGTTTAACTCATTTGTCTCCTTCTCTCTTTTGTGTGTGTGTGCATGTGCTGCTTGGAAGCCCTAAAATTTGACAATATTTCATTATAAAATATGAAATGTCGTTGGTCTTGGCGGTAGAAAATATATGAATGTGTCAATTAGAGGCGAAAAAAGAGATGTTATGCCTTTATAGCAAAGACAAATGTTGACTGAACTTCACATTTTAAATAGAATAAGGAATTTACAAGACTTTGGATGTCGAGAGATAGACAATGATTAAGATATATGTTGTTTAGGAGTTTATTACAACTACAGCATCCCTTAAGGTATAGTACCAATTAGGTTATTTGGTGCTACTTAGCTTTTAATCAACTATTATCATTTAGGAATTATCACACCACCATCCTTTAAAAATAAAGTTTTTGTATTTTGGCTGATTAATAGTGATATCTCATTGTTTGTTTGTAGAAGTCGCGAATGCTAGCTGAACGTCTTCTCAATGGCGAATTAAAACCTGAACAAATCATAAAGATGGAGTCCTATGAACTAATGGTAATGTCTCTGATTCGTATACTTTTGAATATTAAGTTTAATTTTGGTTACCAATCAACAATATTACAGTAGAATCTCAAACCGTATATCTTTTCGTAAATGTCAAATGTTTTGGCCGATTGAGGCAATAAACAATAAACCTGAATCTTAATGTTTATAAACACATGAAATTATGGGTAAAATTATATATTTAAAAGTGTGATTTTACATATTAAAGTGACTGAGATTAGTTTTTCTTTTACCTCGAGGTCAGAGCGGTCATACGTTTGGTGAAATAACGGCTGTCATCGAAGAGCCAAGATTGAAGATTGATGATGCACCTTCCTCCAATAAAAAGTGTTAGGCGCAAACTTTTTCTCGACGAATAATGAGGATACTAAAACTATAATGGTATCTTGATCTTCTTGGTTTATCTATATTCCTGGAGGAGGTTTTTTCTTCTAGAATTTGTTTATTTATTTATTTTATTTTTAAGGTATGATGCAAATTATGACTTCCTATCTAAAACTTTAGTTATTAGAGTTTAGATATTTTATAGACTGTCATTTGTTATATTATTTCTTGGTTGGAGTCATTGGTAACACTAACATGTGTTAGCATGTATTCAATTTGAATTGTATGAATCAAAATATAATGTCATATTTATTGCAATATGGTAATTTGCTTTTGTTTAATACACAAAAGAGTTTGTCATCTATTGGCGGATCTAGGAAAAATGTGTTACCCTTGTGTTTTTTTTTCCTTGACTATCAAAACTACTTTAAATTTAACAAATAATACTACCATGCTCTTTACTGAATGAAATCATGAATATTAGGACATCTATAGCAAGTTCTTTTGGCTGTCATATAATTGCACAAATCTGTGGTTGACTCAACATAAGTCTTCACAAGAGTCACCCCAAGACTCCAAAAGACATTGACGGGACCGGTTGTGAATTATTTATACATTTATATGCAGACAATTCAAAACTAGGGACCAGTTGGATTAGACAATATACAATGTCATTGGAGGGACTGATCAATACATTTTTACCCTCATCAAGATTCATGGATTATAATCATACACCGTGACCTCAAAGAAAGTAACATTCTCCTATATTCTAGTATGAACCCAAAATTGTATATTTTTCAATTGACAGTTTTTTTGGTTTATGAGACGAGCTTGTCTTTAACGAGGAGCTAAAGAAGTAATCGATGCTTCATCAATGGAACAGAGAGCAGATTTATCCATTGATGAACCTGCTTGTTCATGCTTACTTCGGAAGAAACATCCAGGTGGTCGAGGCACGGCGAGGGCAATAGAGCTAGTAGTAAGCATTTGGACGATCGCTGACATGGTTGGACGATCTTCAGTATCTTCTTGGACACATAATAAGGCAATATGGATGCATCTACTTATTTCGTTTCTTTGATAATTCTCTTGAAAGGATGAATCCACTAGCTCTTGTGGCGATCCATTGTTCCACAGCCTCCAAGTCTAATGAACATTTTGAGACTTCAAATTTTTTGTGGCTGTTTCATAAATTAGACAAATTTGCAGATTTAAAGTATTTATTATACTCACATATGTAACCAAGTTTCCAAAACTTCCATTCATCTCATAGAGGCTGCTGTTCTTCCTCCCGCTTATAATCTCAAGAACTAAGACTCCGAAGCTATAGACATCTGATTTCATTGAGAATTGGCCGTACATTGCATACTCAGGGGACATGTAACCACTGAAACAATACTATGTTGAGTTAATAGAAGCACAATACAGTATGTACATTCGATACAAGGCAAGAGCACAACTTACTAGGTACCAACTACTCTTCTTGTATTTGCTTCGGTCTGGTCCATCTTGAAAATTCTTGCCATTCCAAAATCTGCAACCTTGGGGTTCATATCAGCGTCCAAGAGAATGTTACCCGCTTTGAGGTCACGGTGTATGATTGTGAGCCGTGAATCTTGATGAAGATATAGAATCCCTCTAGCAATTCCTCCAATGATCTTGTACCGTGTAGTCCAATCCAGCCGGCTCTGCATCCTAGAGTCTGCACATCCATAGTGAGAATGTCAACAAACAAGGGTTACAAAAAATGAAACTTTTTGGCTAAGCATTGGTTTATCTTACCAAACAGGAAGTAATCAAGACTTTTGTTAGACACAAACTCATAGACAAGTATCTTCTCTTCTCTCTCCAAACAAAATCCGAGAAGCTTGACTAGATTTCTATGCTGAAGCTTTGCCACAAGAATGACCTCATTCTTGAACTCTTTTTCACCTTGTCCTGATGTTTTTGAAAGTCTCTTCACCGCAACTTGTAACCCATTAGGAAGTGTCCCCTAAAAAAGATTGTGAATTAAATACAATCATCCTTACAATTATTTGAATCTCTCTAATGCAACTAATTAAGAAGCTCAGTAAAACTGGTAATACCTTGTAAACTGCACCAAAACCACCTTGACCGAGTTTGTTACATATCGAAAACTTATCTGTTGCAGCTTCAATAGCCTTAAAATCAAACTGAAGTGAGCCTGCAGTTGTAATATCATCCCCTTCTGCAAAACAAATGAAAGTTTACAAGGATTCAGCACTCTAAAACTTTTAAGAAGCACATACAAATATATTTGAATATCCTTACCATCATCTGCAGCGGCTGTATCATAAGTCTTCTTCACTCTCCTTGTCACACGGAAGCTGAAAACAGCCACAAAAAGAAGAACAGAGACAGCCACCGGCACACATATTGCTAAGATTATCACCGTGGAATTCACTCTTTTCCCTGCCAAAGTATTAGACAAGACATGACTCATGACTTCACAAATCTTGAATGTCTCAGAAAAAGATACAGAGAAGATTTTACCAGGCGGCGCAAGCGGAGGAGCTGAAACCGAGGGAGGAGTTTTCACCGGAAATGGAGGAGCTGAAACCGGAGGCGAAGGAGAGAGATTTCTCACAAAGGTTTCATTGTAGAAAGGGTAAAGCTCGTACCTTGAGTTACAACTCGGGACAAGAACTCTTCCTCCAACTCTGTTGAAGTTAAATTCCTTCATGGATTGTTGAAGACAGCTTAAGCAATCTTCCTTTGACAGATCAGGAAGACACTGAACCATTGCATAAAGCGTCTGCGCCGAAGACAAAACTGATCTGTTAACAGAGAATTTCTTCTCTGTGCTATTAGCCGCTTCCACTACAGACTTGTTCATCAGAGAAACCATTGCATCCTTGAACCGGTCCGATTGGTCCGAAGGAACACTCCGAGTGTTCCAAGTGACTATTGTAGGTGTGGACCTTGTGGTTACAGTATCCATGAAAATATTACGGTCTGTGTATCCAAGCATGCACTCATCATACTGAATCAGTAACTCTTTCCCTCTTAGACATCGACTCTGAGCGTCTTTAGAAGCAAATACGACGCAGTCACGGCAAACTTGAGGGGAGAGATCTCCTCTGCAAAGATAAATTCCGAAGACCATGTCAGCTTCTTGACCCTTTGCAAGACTACGAGATCCCATGTCGAATAAGTAAGCAGGACTTGTAGAAAGAGAGGTCAAAAGGGTTTTGAGATTTGAGAAGTAAGTGGTTTTTGTTGATGTTCTGTTACTGCAGTTGATGCCGACGTAGGTCGGGTCTTGTAATTGTGCAGCAGTGAAGAAGGTGAAGAAGGTGAGAAGGAATATAGATATCAATGAGGTATAAACAGACATTCTCCAATTAACTTCTTCTCCTTCCCTCTCTGTTTTTTTTTTTTTTCCTTTGTTGGTTTATGAATACTAATGGATAAATGAATGTGAAACCAGCCAGCCAACCAGTTAGTCAAGTCTATGTAATTTTGTCTTTGTTTTTGTAAAATAATACAGCAAGTCAAAGTCAACTCCACGTATAACATGAACTTGTATTTGTTTACTTAAAAGAAGAACAGTGAATCAAGTCTTTTAATTTTAGAATAATCATGTGATTGAGAAATCCAGAGATAATAAAAGCTCTCACAAATGAAAGTTGACGAGTTGGGATATATTATAAGTTGATGACTATTTATGCAAGGCGCGGAGACTTTGGGTGAATTAGACAGCACCGTTTTAACTTCCTTACCGGACAAGTAACAAATGAAATGTTAAAAGTTAAAACAGTAATTTCACAATCCAAATTGATCCAGTTTTACTCTTCATTGCTTCAGAACCAATCATCACTCTCCGTGGAAAGTTGACTTCTCAAGATAGTTGGTGGACAAGACCGTACCGTTTTATGTTCTTACTGGACAAGTAACAAATTATATTTGAAAGTTATCTGAGGACCTAGCATTGACGTTAAAGTGTAAGATTCAAATAGTATTTAGTTCATTTATTTGTACACTAACTTTATCATTTCTTGCGACCGCTTTATAAAAATTGTGATTTTGGTCAGTTGTAATTTGTTAAAAATATAATTAAAACAAAATGTTGATACAAATAGTAATTTCACAACCAATCAACACTCTCAATGGAAGGTTGACTTCTGCAAGTTTGTAAGGAAAGGTGTTAACTTTTACTCTTTTACAATATGTGTATTAGATTTACAGTAATATGGGGGCTTCCCAAACAGAGGAACTGAAACATGCCTACATCATTATCCTTACAAACTCCATAGCTTCTCCACACCATAATTAAGTAGCACATCTCTATTTCAAGAAAGCAAACTTACTGTCGAAGAATCAGCAATTACGCCATTGATTCTCCTCACCCTAATTTGTCTCTTAAAATTCTCCTATAGAATATAAAACTATAAACAAGAGTATCAGTTACTTACTTGCGGGGCTATTAAAAGAAAATAAACAACAAAGACACATCTTTCTTCTTTGTTGATGCTTATAAGTCTTTGTGAAACGTTTTTGTTTTTTGTCTTCAACGAGCAGTTACATGAGTAACGGAAGCATCGTCCACAGAACAGAGAGAAGAAGAAGCCATTGCTGAACCAGCTTCTCTTACTTCTTCATATTTCCTCCGGAAGAAAAATCCAGGTGGTTGAGGAACGGCGAGAGCAATTGAGCTAGTAGTGAGCATCTGGACGATTTCTGACATAGTTGGACGATCTTCAACTTCTTCTTGAACACATAGCAAAGCTATATGGATGCATCTGCTAATGTCGTTTACTTGATAATCCTCTTGAAAGGATGGATCCAAAAGCTCTAATGGCGACCCATTTCTCCATAATCTCCAAGTCTACAGTGAAACATTTTAATAAACACAACGTTGGTACACTGTTAAATGAAGCTTAAAATTGGAAGTTTTATGGGTGTAGTAGACTCACATATGTAACCAAATTTCCAGAACAAGCATCCTTTAGATAGAGACTGCTATTCTTTTTGCCACTTATAATTTCAAGGACTAAGACCCCAAAGCTATAGACATCTGATTTCATGGAGAATTTGCCGTACATGGCATACTCCGGAGACATATAACCACTATATCAAAAAATAAAATCTTGAGTTAATGGAAATATGTTACATGTCTAAAAGGCAATACTTGGAAATGGAAAACTTACTAGGTTCCAACCACTCTTCTCGTATTGGCTTCTGTTTGGTCTATTCCAAAAATTCTTGCCATTCCAAAATCTGCAATTTTCGGGTTCATAGCAGCGTCTAAAAGGATGTTACCGGCTTTGAGATCACGATGGATAATTGTGAGTCGTGAATCTTGATGAAGATATAGAATCCCTCTAGCAATTCCTCCAATGATATTGTACCTTGTTGTCCAATCCAGCTGGCTTTTCAATGTAGAATCTGGACCATCCGTTTTTGCAATGTTGTGTAACAGTGGTTTCAATAATGGGGTTGAATAAAGACAACTTTTGGGCTAGCTAAAATAGTGTAACAACTTACCAAAGAGGAAGTAATCGAGACTTTTGTTAGGGACAAACTCGTAGACAAGTATTTTCTCTTCTCTTTCAAAACAAAATCCTAGAAGCTTGACCAGATTTCGGTGCTGAAGCTTTGCCACAACAATAACCTCATTCTTGAACTCTGTTTCACCTTGTACCGATGTTTTCGATAGTCTCTTCACCGCAACTTGTAAACCGTTAGGAAATATTCCCTACAAAGAATGTATGAATTTAAACCAAAATCATTACATCTGTTTGGATTTGTTATGAAAACTAATCAGGAAGATCAATGCATGGGATGGTATATATACCTTGTAAACTTCTCCGAATCCACCTTGACCAAGTTTGTTACGTTCAGAAAACTTATCAGTTGCTGCTTCAATAGATTTAAAATCAAACTGCAAGGAGCCAGCAGTTGTAATATCACCCCCATCTGCAAAATTTTAACAAGAAGCTCCATAGTAACTTTTTGAGTTGCAAACACTATTTTGAAATCTTTTACCATCATCTGCAGTTGCTGTCTCGTAAGCCTTCTTCCATCTCGATGCGGCTTGGAAGCTAGAAACAACTAAAAAAAGAAGAACATAGACAGCTAGCGGCACAACAATCGCTATGATTATCACTATGGAATTTCGTCCTTTACCTGCCAAAGTATTAGATCAGACATGTCGACACAAGAAACCCCAAATCTTGAACAGACAGAGACAGAGACAGAGAGAGAGAGGAAGATCTCTTACCATGCTGTCGCAGTGGAAGGTACCTTAAGGTTTCATTGTAGAAAGGGTAAAGGTCGTACCTTAAGGTACAAGTCGGCCAAAGAAATCTTGCTCCAATTTTGTCACGAGGCAATTTCTTGATGCTTTGTTGGAGACAGCTTAAGCAGTCCTCTGTTGTCAGATCAGGCATGCACTGAACCAACACATAAACCATTTGAGATGATGTGTAGTTCGACTTCTTAAACGCAAACTTTCTTGGACTAGCAGCAGCCTCAGCTGCAGCTTCTTTCGTCAAAGAAAGGACCACCTTATTGAACTGATCAGATTGGTTTGCCGTAACATTCTCTTGGTTCTCTATCAGCTGTCCAGTTTTGGTTATAGGATCCAGGAGAATATCCTGGTCACCGTATCTAACCATGCATTCGTCGTAATAAACCAAACCTTCCTTTCCATTTGGACACAGATGGAGAGTGTCGTTGACGGCGTATCTGACGCAGTCACGGCAGATTTCCGGCGATACATCTCCACGGCAGAGGAAAAATCCGAAAACCTTGTCAGGATTTTGTCCCTCTGTAAGACTGTTGAATCCGTAGGAGAATAAAGGATTGTGTTTGGAAGAAAGAGAGAACAAAAGGGTTTTGAGATTGGAAGAGTATTTGCTGTTTTTGAGGTAAGTCATCCCTGGTGGACAAACAGAACTGATATAAAACGGTCTGTGTTGCTGTACAGAAGGTCTCAGGCTTGTAAGGAAAGTGAGAAGGAAGATGAAACCATAGACAGACATATTTTTCCAACAACTTCGACAGTAATTTCTGGTCTTAAAGAATCTGAAGCCACGCAAGAGTTCTGCTCTATAAAACCATTACAGGTTCTTGTAAGTCCACCGCGTCAACGCTTAAAACCAAAAGACGCTTCTACTTGACGAGTAAAAACCAACCTTTTATTTGGTGGAATGCTTTTGTTTTTTTCCGTAGGTGTGGAATACATAGTAGGTTACTGCTTTGCCTAACGACTTGATAAATCTGAAGCCAGTCAAGAGTGTTTATTATAAGTCCACGTCAACGTTTCAACCGAAAAACACTTCTACTTGACGGGTAACATCAACGTGATTATCAATCTCGTTCTAAAGTAAGAAAACTCAACATATGGATTTTGAAAATTAGAGAGATTAGTGGCTAAAAAGCTACTTGGTTACGTGAGCACTGGGGTTCGAATCTTCTTCCCTGCGTAGGATAAATATGGCTACGAGGCGAGGAGAAAAGATAAGATTAATGATCACTCACTCCGTTAGGCTGGATTCTGTTTGGTGTGTATAAGACAGAATTGTGTTGCTTTCTTGCGGGACAAGTCAGTTCTATTAAGTTACCATGTATGTTCCTCTTGTTTTCTTTTTATTTTGGCTTTTTCCCTAGCGGACCATTTTTCTTTTGTTTGTTCCTAATGTGCATCTCTGCATAGGAGATTCTATGACGTGTTTATCTTGGTGCCATATAATTGCAACAATCTATACGATAGGAAATCGCAAAAAAAAAGAAATAAATAAATAAATAAACCTAACGTATTCAAAAAGAAAAAACTAGTAAACATTGAGATGTATATTAGGGGGATATATCTTCATCCTCCTTGTTAAGCCTGCGCAAAATGATTTCTAAAATCTTAAGAATCGAATCAATGACAGTACCAAACTAAAACAAGCTACGTCCTACGTCCTATTACTAATAAAACAAACTATTAGTAACCTAATATGAAAACAAATAAAACTAGTTAAACCTTCACAAAAGCTTCAGGAGATGCTCCATAATCCGATTGGTGGAGGCCGTGGATATCGTGGACGTAGAGGACGACGAGGTCGTGGAGACCGGGCTTAGTCTCTGCTTTCCTTCTATGTCTCCTCTAATGTGTATCGATTCCTCTTCTTAGTATGTTATATGCTTTATGCCTTGCTTATTACTCAAAACTTTTACAGTTCAACATGCCCTTTTCCCGCTGAATTGACTTTGACTGAGTTATCGTCGTCGCCACAAACCATACTCTGGTTCACGTTAACGTGTCACAGACTCACAGAGAGAAGATTTTATAAATGGGAGGTTAATGATGTTAAACCCAAATCAAAGGAAATTTAACCATGTCTTCTCCCGCCTCTTTCAGCTTCCTTTTCCTTTTTATTTTCTCCTTCCTCGCTAGTTTCAGAGCAACTGCTCAAAACCCTAGATTCCTACACAACTCTTGTCCAAACACGACATTAACTTATTCAAGGAACAGCACTTACTTCACCAATCTCAAAACCCTTTTGTCCTCTCTCTCTTCCCGCAACGCTTCCTACTCCACCGGATTCCAAAACGCTACGGTCGGAAATGACCCCAACAGAGTCACCGGACTTTTCCTTTGCCGCGGTGACGTCTCGCCGGAATTCTGCCGTAGCTGCGTCACCGTTTCCGTCAACGACACCTTAAATAAGTGTCCGAATCAGAGAGAGGTCGTGCTCTATTACGATGAGTGCATGCTCAGATACTCTCACCACAATATTCTATCGAACGTTACATACGATGACGAATTCAGCATGATTAACGCCAATAGTATTTCATCTAGTCAAGAAGACCGGTTCCAAGATCTTGTGTCGTCCAAGATGAACCAAGCTGCCTTTGAAGCAGCGAGAAGTTCTAGAAAGTTCGCTACGATTAAGGCCAATTGGACTACAGGCAATAATTTGTACGGCCTGGTCCAGTGCACTCCTGATCTGACGACACACGACTGCTTGAGTTGTCTGAAAAAATCCATCGATCGACTAAGTTTTGACAAAGTTGGGGCAAGACTTCTTTGGCCAAGTTGTGGTTCAAGGTACGAACTTTACTTGTTCTACAACGAAACCACCGTTACAACACCACCACCACAACAAGCACCACCACTGCTTCCTCCGCCCGGCTATACTTCTCCAGTGTCATCTCCTCCACGACCTGGTGACCCCTTTGTTCCTCTGTTTTTTTTTCCCTGATCTCAAAGTTAACAATACGATTATCAAAAGATTTTGCTTGTCCTTGTGACTTGTGATTGTATTAAGCATTAATATTTCAAAACGCAGGGAAAGGTGTGAATATAAGTGTGTTAGTAGTAGCCATCGTTGTGGTGGCTATTGTAGTGGCTGCTCTGTTTTTCATAGCCGGTTATTGTTTCCATGCAAAGATGAAAAAGAAGTCTTCTTATTCTGCACCAGCCTTTAATGGTAAAGATTCAGATTTGATTAATGTCATCTAACAGTCTATTTTTTTTATCTGATTACTATGACGTTTATTGTGCAACAGGAGATGATATAACAACCATAGAGTCACTGCAACTTGATTATAGAACAATTCAAGGTGCAACAAATGGTTTTTCAGAGAATAATAAAATTGGCCAGGGTGGATTTGGCGAGGTTTACAAGGTAAAATATCTTACTTATAATTCTTTAACTGCGACTGAAATTGTGTACTTATTCTTGAAAATTTTGTGTCAACACATTTTGCATAATGGATAGGGTACATTTTCGGATGGGACTGAAGTTGCGGTGAAGAGACTGTCAAAATCATCACGACAAGGTGACACAGAGTTCAAGAACGAAGTTGTTGTTGTTGCCAAGCTTCAGCATAAAAATCTGGTTAGGCTTCTCGGGTTTTCTCTAGAACGAGAAGAAAGGATATTGGTCTATGAGTATGTGCCCAACAAAAGCCTTGATTACTTCCTCTCTGGTCAGTTGCTTTTTTTTATTTTTGTTACTTAGCCATTCTTGACACTTGTTGTTGTTGCAAATCTTTAGACTTAAGTGTAATTTATGGATGTGCCCTCATAGACCCTGCAAAGCAAGGTCAACTGGATTGGACTGGACGATACAAGATAATTGGAGGGATTGCTAGGGGGATTCTATATCTTCATCAAGATTCACGACTCACAATCATACACCGTGACCTCAAAGCAAGTAACATTCTCTTGGATGAGGATATGAATCCTAAAATTGCAGATTTTGGAATGGCTAGGATCTTTGGAATTGACCAAACACAGGAGGACACAAGCAGAATAGTTGGTACCTAGTAAGTCTTCTACTTAACTTCTCATAAGTTGAAGTTTGTTAATCATGATTTTGATAATATAAAAAGTTTCTTTGTGGATTCCAGCGGTTACATGTCTCCTGAATATGCGATGCATGGCCATTTCTCAATGAAATCTGATGTCTATAGCTTCGGAGTGTTAGTTCTTGAAATTATAAGCGGTCGGAAGAACAGCAGCTTCTACGTGACAGAACGGTGCACACATGACTTGGTGACATATGTAAGTTTAAAGGCAATCAAGATTTATATTAACCCTTCTCTTTCAATAAGTAATGGTTTCAAGAACTGAATGATTGATTGATATTCTAGGCTTGGAGGCTTTGGAGTAACGGAACAGCATTAGACCTCGTGGATCCAATCATTGTAGAGAACTGCCAAAAGAGTGATGTGGTTCGATGTATCCATATTGGTCTTTTATGTGTACAAGAAGATCCTGTACAACGTCCGACCATGCGAACCATTTTCATGATGCTCACCAGTAATACTGTGACTTTACCAGTGCCTCGGCAACCCGGGTTTTACGTTCAGAGTAGACCAAGAGAAGACCCGCTTGGTTCAGATCAATATATGATAACCAAGTCTGTTCCAACGTCTGTTGATGATTCATCCATCACTGATTTATATCCTCGTTGAATATGATGTTTGTAACACCTACCTTCAAGCTTGAATCGTCAACAAACGTGGAAAACAAGTTAAAACGTTTTTTTAAGCTTTTCATTTTTCGGGTCAACTGATATCAAATAATTTGGCTCTGAATTGGTAACCTGCAGAATAACGGAATTGCGTTTTTAAACACAATTCTGCAGATTTTTTGCCAATCAACAAAAATCCGCATAATGAAAAAATACACACAAAAACTTAACAAAAATACAAAGGAAAAGTCATTCCGCAGAAAAGCGACTTATAAGTCGCTTAATCTATTCTGCAAGATTTTTTTCCGCAATTCCGTCATTTCGTAAAGTTACCAATCAAAGCCAAAATCATTTGTAATTTGGTTTGGTTTTGATGCTGTTTGATGCAACTGTTTTTAAATATTTGGTTCTGGTTTTACTTTTAGTTAAGCATAATTTAAAATATAGTTTTCTAGTAGAGATATGATTACAGCAATAAAGCAATAAGTAAATTGAAGAAATTTTATATACTCGGTTAGGCTTTGGTTATTCTGATATTGTTATCGATCCGGCTTGAAGTTTACGTATTACATATAATTTTTTTATTGATTTATTTTTTATGAATATGTATATTCATTTCGTTGAATAGTATAGTAAATGAATGAAATAATCAACCTCTACATGTATTGAAAAGATTCGAGAAACAAAATTCATCACTCGTTTTTTTTTTTTGTTTTAAAACGAGAATCCGTTATTTTTTTTTATCATTCATCATACTCATCATTTTTTTTTTACATTTTTTAAAATAATTATGATTTTCAAGTGTTCAAAAATAACTTCAAAATATGAAAAATCATTCATTTGTCCGCGTAGGCTTCATTGATTGCTGCTTTCACCGCTTTTGCCAGAGATGTTGTTAAAATTGGTCTCTATCATTTCCAGAGATCATATTTTATACGGTTCGAAATTAAAGTGTCCATCCTTTCCAGTTTCGGATTCATATAATTTGATATAAAGATCAGGATCCGACTCCGATCCATGTATAATACTTTATATATGTAATATGATAATTAAGAGAGAAATATCTTAAAATATTACAAATATATATATTTTGTGCAAAAATAATATTTCTTTTAAAATTTTCTATCAATTTTTAGAATTTATACCGTAAATACGTATTAATGTTTAAAATTAGTTTGAAATATTTTCTATTATTTTTTAATGATTTCTGTTATAACATTTAGCTATTTTGCGAGAATTCAGATAAGATTCTTACATTATACCTGAGGCTGGGACTATTAGATATGGATACTTATTACTTATTTCTCGAATCCTACAGATTCAGTTCCATGCATCCATAATTTTTAAAATACTTTTTGTGACCATCCCTAGTAAAAGTCTAGTAGATAGTAGGTTTCTGAAAACATGTAAAATTTTAAGTCTAGAAGCTTGATTTATCCGCTCGGGTACTAGGGGCTGGCCTAACTTCCGTGTCTATTGGTTCGTCTTTATTTGATAGGATTTTACAGTTTCAATGATTCTATGTATTTTGGCAGAAAAATGCGAATCCGCAATTTTTTTAAAAAGTACTATTTCACAAATCTTATATATTCTAATTTGTTTCATACGTTTGACTCAAAAGAAATTGCACACTAGAGAGATAATCTGTTTAGATTGGGACTTTTGAGTCTCGTTTTACGACCGTGTTTACAGGTTTAGGGACCACTGCTGTCGTATAAAATTGGCTGTTTAAATATCAAGACAAAGCTACATTAACCTTTGCGGGACAATGAAGCATAGTAACTCCTTCAACCCTCTATATTATCCTTGAATCATTGTGCATTTTCTATTTAGTTCGTTTGATTTATCGAAAAATTCGTATGAGTCATTATCCCACGAGACATTGATTAGGCATTTAGGCTTTGGAATTGGATGAACGGGTCAGGACAACTTCAAGGAAAAATTTATAGAAAGGTATGCATTTATATATTCATGTATACGTTTTGCTATCCTAACTTACACAACATCTGTATGATCTCCAAAATGAAATTGAGAATCACTTGCCAGTATTTTGGGTTTTTCCTTGTTGGCTTTACTGCTCTATCCATAAAAAGAAGTATGGAAATTTTGGATTTTCAGCTT